CACACCATTCTCCTAGTCCATCTGAGGGGCAGCTCCACCCTTATAAACACCAGAGGCCATGGCTCCACCCCTTTGAAACCTCAGAGGTCCTGGCTGTACCTTGTGAGACTGAGGCAGCTCAGCTTCCTGTGTTCCTTGTCTATTCAGCTTCTGCTTCCTTGTTTCTTGGCCTCTCGGCTCCTCAGGCCTCTCGCCCACATCTGCCCTGCTGGGGCAAGTGTTCTAAAGCTCTGCAGCTGCACCAGTATGTGCCTGCAGGCACCCCACTCTGCCAGTAAACTTTGACTGGAAGGCACTCATCTCTCTTGCTCTGTGGGGCAGCAAGTCTAGCTCCACCGATAAGTGCTCAGATGTACCCCACTCCTCCAAGAAGTCTCCTGTGCACAGGCACCCAGCTCTCCCGCTCCGTGGGTCAGCTCCAGCGCAGTCCGGCACTGGTCTCCTGGCTCTGCTGCCGCCAGTCCTCTGCTGCTGCCTCTTCTCTGCTGCTGCTGGTCCTCTATCCATTCACAGTCTCAAAACCTCTGCCACATTCTAGGTATCCATTAGAGCAGCACCCCACTCTCGGTACCAAATTTTGTCTTAGTCATCTAGTGCTGCTATAACAGAAATACCACAAGTGGATGGCTTTAACAAAAAGAAATTTATTCTCTCACAGTCTAGTAGGCTACAAGTCCAAATTCAGAGTGTCAGCTCCAGAGGAAGGCTTTCTGTCTCTGTCGGCTCTGGAGGAAGGTCCTTGTCATTAATCTTCCCTTGGTCTAGGACCTTCTCCTTACAGGAACCTCAGCTCCAAAAGATGCACTCTGCTCCTGGCACTGCTTTCTTGGTGGTGTGAGGTCCCCATGTCTCTCTGCTTGCTTCTGTCTTTTATATCTCAGAAGAGATTGGCTAAAGACACTATCTAATCTTGTAGATCTCATTAATATAACTACCGCTAATCCATTTCATTGCATCATAGTGATAGGATTTACAACACATAGGGAAATCACATCAAATTATAAATGGTAGACAGTTCTACAATATTGGGAATCATGACCTAGCCAAGTTGACAGATATTTTTTGGGGATACAGTTCAATCCATGACAGGTATGTTCTTCCAATATGTGGAAATGCAGACCTCAGTGGTTTAATGGTCGCCTGGTTTAGACATTTCAAGGAAGCGTCATGAGAGGTGTAGCAGCTAAAGCTGAAGAGTCTGCTACCAATGGCCACCATGCACCCAGCATGACCCATTGCGGAAACTTCCTCCAGGTCCTCTGGGACACCGAGACAGTTAATGCCTCAGAGCTCAGGAGGGACAGAAAAAGCACAGAATCCAGAGTGACAAGGGCAGGTTCCAAGTCCCAACTTTGCTGCTTATTAACTATTTGACCCTCAGTTTCTTCATCTGTAAAATAGGAATAATGACCTTACTAATTGTGTGACCTCGAGGAAGTCACCACATCTCCCTGTGGCTCGGTTTTCCCATCTGAAGCTTATAATAGTGCCTACCTCAGAAAGTTGTAGTAGGATTAAGTTAATTAATGGGTGTAAAGTGGCATCCCTGGATGGTGGAAATAGTCAACACGCTCGACTGCTAACCAAAAGGTTGGGGATTCGAATCTACCCAGAGGCACCTCAGAAGAAAGGCCTGGTGATTTACTTCCAAAAAAATCAGCCATTGAGAACCCCATGGAGCACAGTTCTATTCTGACACATATGGGGTCACCTTGAATTGGCATTGACTCCATGGCAACTGGTTATGATGCATGTGAAGTGCTTAGATCAGTGAATGCCATATAGCAAGTGCAGTTAAGGCAAACTCCTTAGCCTTAACTGGAAGAGCTGGAATTCAAACCAGGCTCTCTGCTTCCATTTCCAGGGTGTTGGCTGATGAGGGGAGTCCCTGGGTGGTGTAAATGGTTAAGCACTCAGCTACTAACCGAACGGTTAGGGGTTCAAATCCACCCAAAGGCACCTTGGAAGAAAGGCCTGACTTTCTGCCAAAAGATCACAGCCATTGAAAGATCAGAGTAGGAGCACAGTTGTGCTCTGACACACACGAAGTCTCCATGAGTCAGAATCCACAGGAGGGCAACTGGTTTGGTTTTGGGGTTTTTTTGTCTCATGTGTCGGGTGGATGGACAGATCTGAGAGTGACTCTCCACCCTGTCTCTGCACCTGATGCCCTGGGCAGGTCACAGAACCTCTTAGAGCCCCTTTTTTTTTCACTTGTAAAATAATAGCTTCTACTCTGCAAGAGTGTTGTAAGGTTTAAAGTGTCTGGCACGGGGATAGTGATTGGTAGACAGTGGTGGCCCTTGTTAAATGGCAGTGGCCCTTGGTAGATGGAAGTGGCCCTTGTTAGATGGTGGTTGACCTTGGTAGACAGCGGTGGCCCTTGGTAGACAGCGGTGGCCCTTGGTAGATGGTAGTGGCCCTTGTTAGATGGTAGTGGCCCTTGTTAGATGGCAGTTGACCTTGGTAGACAGTGGTGGCCCTTGGTAGATGGCAATTGACCTTGATAGATGGTGGTGGCCCTTGGTAGATGGCAGTTGACCTTGGTAGATGGCGATGGCCCTTGGTAGACAGCGGTGGCCCTTGGTAGATGGTGGTGGCTGTTGGTAGATGGCAGTTGACCTTGGTAGATGGTGGTGGCCCTTGGTAGATGGCAGTTGACCTTGGTAGATGGTGGTGGCCCTTGGTAGACAGCAGTGGCCCTTGGTAGACGGCGGTCGCCCTTGGTAGATGGCAGTTGACCTTGGTAGATGG